GGTATAAACTATAATATTTATAAGTGGCACTAGCCAAACTATATGAAAATTTTCTGTGTATAATTGCTGACTTGTCTTTCAAATGGAAATATTCTAATTATGCATATTGCATTTCCTATGTTTATAGTTTGGAATGGTATGTTTATTTAATCTTAACTGATAATTTTTGATAATTGACAATTTTTGCCTTTTTTTCAAAGTTCGTATTGTATTTTAAAGCTTATAGATGATTTTTTAAAAAAATAGTTGTCATGGAGAAATGGGTTTTATAGAAACATATAACATTCAATAAAGCAAGTGTGAGTGAAATAAATTATTTACTTTCAGTTTGGAAGAGGTGAATAAAAAGTGCTTGGCCAATACCGTACCATTAATCTATTCTCTTTTCTCCTTTCTCTCTTTACTTCTCTCTCTCCAATAGAAGTGGAACAAAAAGGTAATTAAATACCTTTCATAAATTATATACTATTTATAGGCTAAGTTATTTAACAGTTTAACATTTAGTTACGATAATTTTGTTATTAATTCTTATCTATTTTATGAAAATTTATTTACTACTTCTGCTGCTCAACTTCACTTTAATCTGTATTAATGACCAGTGCCGATTTGATCCTTTCGTCTTAAAATAGTTTAACAGTGTAAAATTTTCAACAGTGTATTTTATTTCTCTTCATTTTTAAGTAGTTAGAAATCCAATAGATAGTGATGGATGGTGATTGCTTTAGATTTGTTTTTATTTCTATACTAGATAATTTTCTATAGCTCTGGTGTGATTTCCCCCTGTTGTATTAATTTTTAACTATTGGAGGGAAGGGGGAGATAGTTTTCTGAAGTACCCTAAAATAAATTACTTTAGTAGTCAAGGGCTGATAATTAACTTTAATATAAAAGCTATATAAAATTTTGACAACAATGGGTACGTATCCTTTATAATTATGGCAATCATATTATTTAATAAAAATGACAAATTCTTAATAATCACCAATATTATTATTGACGATAAAATGATGTTGGCCATTTATCTTTGCTGTGGAAGATTTTGGTAGTCAGCTTTTCCCCCAAACTTTTGATTTCTTTAAAAGTAATACTTTTGGTATTTTAATAATGTTCTTTTCAATTAATCTTCCATACCTAGCTGAGTTTCATCTTTCTATTGGATCTATGCTTATAGTTGCTGTTAAAAAGCTGATCACTAATTCTGAAAAAACAGTCCTTTAATCATTAAAAAAAATGGGTCGACATCCAAATTATTTGTGATGTCTTAATTTCTCTGCCCAGTACACTTATAATCATTTCAGACATAACAGTGGATTGCATGATTATTTTTCAGTGTGTTTGCTTTGCAAATATAGCAGAGCAGTGTTTCCCATAGCAGGTTCAGCAGAACACTGTCCTCCAAAGAGGCTCTATAAAAAGGGATCCATGATTAAAGTAGTTTATGAAATTTGCTCAGCCTCCCCACTTTGACCTTGGAGATTCACTAATGCACCTAAGCTATTAGAATCTCTGCCACAATTATATTTAATATGATATTTCTTAAACATGTGTGACTAAGGAGCCCTTTTTTCTTTCTGGGCATCATCTAACTTGAAACAGGTGCTTCAAGGACCATCCTTTGGGAAACATTGCTTTATAGCCCTTCATTGCAGATGAATCAGCCAATCTGGCTCAGCACCGCTCACACAATATGCTACTGAGTCATACTAAAAATCAAGCGAATCAAATGATTCCTGCCCATTTTCATTCTGAAGTATGAGCAGCAAAATATTATAGCAAGTAATCTTGTTTTTTAATGCTCTTCTCATGTAACAGTAAAAGGTACATGTTTTTAAGTTCCAATACTACTGTATTTAACAGGACATTTTAACTGATTAAAATCTAGATCTTTGGTTCTTTTCTGTAACCTTTCACCTTTCCTTCTTTCCTTATTCCTTCTTTCCTTTCTTTTTCTTCCTCTCTCTTTTTCCTTCCAGTATCCATCCATCACTCATTTTTAATTGTGTGGGTTGCATGCTCTGTGTGTGTTGTAGCAGCTTTGAGAGCTTTTTTGCTAGAAGATTCAGTGGCCTATTACAGGGCTTTTAGTTTCCTTTATTTTTTAAAAAAACATTATGATGAGATATCCATCTGTTTGTTAATGATAACTGTTGAATAGCTATTTTCATCAGAGTGGAAACAATATATTTTTATTTTCAAATAAGATATGTTCTTTACCGAACTAACAAAAATATTGTATATAAACTTTTGTACTTGTTACATGTCTATAGAGTACATAGATATATGTCATCTGACATATATTGAGAAATATTATAACACATGTTTACAAAGGTAAAAATCACAGGAAAGTACATCTACTCATAAAAAGGCTAAATTTTTTTGGTAAATGAAATCAAAATGATTTTGGAAAAAAAGCCAAAATTAATGTGGAAGAATACTTTGTGTTCTCAAAAGAATGCAGCCAAGTTAATGGTGGTGGGTATCTCTTATTAAAGTTGCATTCCATTTGGTGAAAACTAAGAATATATGACAAAAAAATTAATGTATTTATTATTTTAACTCTTTGCCTTCCAACAGTTTTTCTTTGTCCTGGACTACTAAAAGGAGTATACCAGAGTGAACATTTGTTTGAGTCCGACCACCAATCTGGGGCATGGTGCAAAGATCCTCTACAGGCTTCTGACAAGATTTACTATATGCCCTGGACCCCCTACAGAACGGATACCCTGACCGAGTATTCATCCAAGGATGACTTCATTGCTGGAAGGCCAACTACAACCTACAAGCTCCCTCACAGGGTGGACGGCACAGGATTTGTTGTGTATGACGGGGCTTTGTTCTTCAACAAAGAGCGCACCAGGAACATCGTGAAGTTCGATTTGCGGACTAGGATCAAGAGTGGAGAGGCTATCATAGCAAATGCTAATTACCACGATACCTCCCCTTACCGATGGGGAGGCAAATCTGACATAGACCTGGCAGTGGACGAGAACGGGCTGTGGGTAATCTATGCAACAGAACAAAACAATGGCAAAATTGTCATTAGTCAATTGAACCCTTACACTCTACGGATCGAAGGGACATGGGATACTGCGTATGATAAAAGGTCAGCTTCCAATGCGTTTATGATTTGTGGGATTCTGTATGTGGTCAAATCCGTATATGAGGATGATGACAATGAGGCCACTGGGAATAAGATTGACTACATTTACAATACAGACCAAAGCAAGGATAGTTTGGTGGATGTGCCCTTTCCAAATTCGTACCAGTACATCGCAGCTGTGGATTACAACCCCAGGGACAACCTCCTTTACGTGTGGAATAACTATCACGTCGTGAAATATTCTTTGGACTTTGGACCTCTGGATAGTAGATCGGGTAAGTTCAACTTTTGATGGTACTCTTTGTGGAAGTATGTAGTTTGTTCTCAATAAGTTTATTGCACGTTTTGATTAGACTTCCTTCGTGATCTGTGTTTCTTGCCTGTGTACCTGAAAATTGTTCATTATCCTTGCATCTGAAAAAGGGTGCTGTTAATCACTTTCATCTCTTAAAAAAGTATGACTACAAGCAACTCTCCTCTGCTCAGATCATCTCCAATCGTTAGCTGTTTGTCTTTGAAAGGCATTTATCATGATCAGCTGGTTAGTTCTGTGTATAGTGAAGTGCGTAAAACCTTTGCTAAAATAAGAATGCCATCCTGTCTAATTAATTGTGAAATGCCTGCAGAAATTCTGTCTACTTGGGACATGTCAAAGGGTTAACTTGATATTATGCTTCAGGAGTCCGGCACCAATATATTCACCTCACAGAGAGCATCATATACGCCCTTCCCCATTGGGAATACGGCCAGTTCGAGTGTACCTATGTCTGCTTGAACCTAACTGATATATAGGGGAAAATGTTCATAACTGATAAGTACAGAAAAAATAGATCTCAATTTCTATAAGAAATGACAATGCAAAGCACAGTTTTGAGTAAGCTTGAGATATTTGATTTCGATTCTCTACAAGTGTTCTTTTCCCCTTCTAGAACATACTGTTTCCTTTTAGTGTTGTTTAAAGACAGTCATAAATAGCTTTGGGTTTTTTTCATTTTTATTTACACAACAGAGCACAATTATTTTACTTTAAAAGTCAGATTTTGTAACTAGCCATAATAGTGTTCTCCAAGATAAAGGATAATGGAAAACTAAATTTAGGTTTCTGAATTTTGATAGTAATATGGCAATTCAAAAATTAAAATATTTTTGTCATAGAGTTTACTTGTTAATATTTCTCTTTCTACATTATTTTTCATCATACTTTTACTACCATGCCATTCTGCTCTCTTAGTCCATTATATACACATCTTCCTGCAGAACTAGATTCTACGTTTTTTTTTATGGCCAATGGCCTTGCCTTACCTATCCTTTTATTATATTTTTATCTGACCATTATTTCTGTTTTCTCTGACTCCAGTGCAATATATGACATATCTATAAGTAATGCTTAATAACTCTTGCTGAATGAATGAATGGCTTTCTACTTCTTATTCAGATAGAATGACAAATCAGTGACGTTTTCTTTAATCCCTGTGAGGCTTCAGTCAGAGTGATAGCACTCCTTTCCACCATCAGTAATGCTGATATTATGCTGAATTGGCTTTTATGGAAGGAAAAGCTTAAATATGCAATAGCAACAATAGCAATTTCTCTTTACTAAGTCCTCAAAAAATATCTCCTAGACCAACTGCATTATCTGGCCCACTGCTGTACAGGTAAGGTTTTTTTGTTTTGTTTTTTGTGTGTGTTTTTTTAAACCCAATATACTCTGCAGTTTAAAATAAGAATCAATCATTTGGAGTATTCTAGGAAGACAATTCTTTCAGAGCTGTGGCATTCTTAAACTAAAATTTATATTTAGTTAGTGTAAACTCTTGTTTATGGATGGTTCTTAGCCTTCTTTTTTTTTTTTTTTTTTT